AAACAACAAACATTTATTTCTCCCAGTTCTAGAGGCTGGGAAGTCCAAGATCATGGTGCTGGTAGATCCTATGTCTGGTAAGGGCCCACTGTCTAGACAACTGTCGATTTGCAGTGACCTCACATGGTGGGACAGATGAGCCAGCTCTCTGGGGTCTCCTTTACAAGGACACTACTCCCATTTGTGAGGCTCTTCCTTCATGACCTAATCACTTCCAAAGTCCCCACCTTCCCAACACCCTCACCATTGTGGTCAGGATCCCCACACAGGAATTCTGGGAGGATACAAACATTCAGACCATAGTATCATCTTAAATTCTCTGTTGAACTACCCAGTATTAACCATTTTCCTGATTCTAACACACATCCAATCCATTTGAAAAAGAAAGAATAGAAACAATGGGTAAAAGGCAACAGGTAATGGCTGAGAGTTTTCCTAAAGAGGTGAAAGGTGTGAACACTCAAATTTAGGAAGCTCCAGTAGAATAGATAAGAAATTCACGGTTAGATACATATCAAAATAAAACCATGGAACACCAAAGACAAAGAGAAACTCTTAAAACCAATCAAATAGAAAAGATGCATTACATGTAGAAGCAAACGTTCGGAATGACTGCTGATATTTCAATAGAAAACAGTAGTGTGATATATTCAAAAAATATATATATATTCAAATGAAAGAAAATAACTATTAATCTAAAAGAAACAAAAGTACCCATAAAAGTATCTTTCAATACCAAAGGCAATAAAAAGATATTTTCCACGAAAAACATTGGGGTTTAACAACGATGACCCCTGAGAAAAAGCATGTTTATAGGATACCTTTCAAGAATGATAATGATCCACAAGAAAAGTCTAAATTGCCAAAAACAACAAAGAAATTGTCACGCATGTGTGTAAATCTAAACCAGCACTGACTGTAAGACACAGTAATAGACAATAATGAATAATTAAAAGTGTAGTAATAGGACTTAAATGTTACTAAATTCCTTACATGGTTAAAGAGATGGTCAGAAATAATAACTTTAGGCTTTTAGGATAAATATTAAACACTAGAACCTCAAAATACCATATATAAAGAGAATAGCAGATGGCTTTACTCAGAACCAAGCAATATGTTAATACCTTGATTCTTACTTTAAAAAATATTCATCATATATTTTGGCAGAGCATTTTTGGAGGATCCTTCCCTTTGTGCACCCACTTCTGCTAAGCTGTGCTTCCGCTGCTTCAACTCCCATCATATAAAGTTTAAGTTAGATTCAAAAGGTGCTCCTGCCTATGAAGGAAGAGGTATACTGGACGGTCAACAGGTCAGCTATGTAGGTCGTTTATCTTCACACAACAGCCAGAATGATTTCAACACAGAAACCAGACCACATTATCTTTCTGCTAAAAATCCACATTCTAACTATGTTCTCTAGACCCTGGATGATCTGGCTGTTTCTGACGCCCCTAAACTCACCCTAAGTTCTTCTTCGCCTCTTCCTGTGTCTTCACCCTCCACTGGCTTCTGACAGGTCTGAGAACACTGTAAACTCTTTTCTGCTGCAGGATCTCCTGTTGTCTTTGCCTAGCTGCTTCCTCAAACCTTCCACATGGCTGGTTTGACCTTCTCTCATACACAGACGATCAGGATCACATGCAGTTACTCAACCCACAAATGAACTACCCCTGCTTTGAATTTATTCTATAGATTATTCTCCTAGCATGATTCTGAAAGTAATAAAGCCTTCCTGGTTAAAAGAAGCCCACAGAAAAGTGAGTTTGTCATATAAAACGACCTCACACAGACACCAGGATGAATCACCAAACAGGTTTTAGGTATCTCCTTTCTCACAAAACTTTGAAACACACTCACAGAAATCTCTGGTCTAGCTTACTGCAGAATAGAAGAACTGGACACATACCCCTTTCAAGCTTTCCAAAAACATAGGAAACGAAGTATGGTTTAAAACAGACCTTGTCTAGTTATATGTATGGTTTGTTTTGAATGAGCCATAATCAATGTTTTGTTCCCTTCATTTGCTTAAAGATGTTTTGTAGAGAGAGAAAACAAGGTCTACTTATGTACTTCCATACATGTATTCTTTCCACTACTCATTTTCTTAGTTGGTAATTATGGGGATAAAAGTACTTGCTTAGAATAAATGCTAGAACCAAAGGAAAGGCTTTCATTTCCTAGAAAATTTCTCCATATTTTAGAAGTGGCATTACTGGGGTGCCTGCGTGGCTCAGTCGGTTGAGCATCAGGCTCTTGATTTCGGCTCAAGTCATGATCCCAGGGTCGTGGGATCGAGCCCCACATCAGCATGGAGCCTACTTAAGATTCTTTCTCTCTCTCTCTCCCTCTGACCCTCTCCCCTACTTGCTCTCTCTCTCTCTCTCTGAAAAAAAAATGGCATTAGTGAGAACCCGAAACAACTTTAAGTCATCAGAACACTAAGCTTCAATGTCCACAGCTATAAAATGGAATGATAATGCATGTCTGAACTAATTCTCAGAGTTGCTTAAGTGCCAAGTGAGTTTTATGAAGAAATGCTTCATAAATTGCAATACAGGATTACTCTCCTCCTTAAGGATGAAAGTTGGGTTAGAGTTTGGGCTACACAATTTACCCATTCGAATTAGTAAGGGATATTTTCTGAGTCAGAAATCACAACCTGAAATGTCTGCAGGGACAAAGGAGGTGAAATACATGAGTGAAGTGGACGAAGTAAAAGCAGGGAGTGGAGGCCTTGTGGCAAAGTAGAGAGTGCACATGCCCCACTCAGAGTGGGCAACCACATCTGCTTTGAGCTGCTTACAGGTGCAAACTCCACCTTGCCGGGCCCTATTGTTTTTCAGGAAAAGCTAGGACTCTGGGAATGTATGTAAAATTTACTAATTTTAAAATATTGGTAAATAGTTTCAAAGTATTCATTTTAAATTGATGAGCTGACCCAAATAAACATATCCAAAGACCAAATTCAGCTTTTATGTTATCTCCTTATGACTTCCACATGAGTTTTTGTGGTTTTTGTCACAAAGAGATGGCCAATAGACATAAGTCTAACCACATGGTGTAATCATCCTCAGACCTCAGGAAAAATGGACAATAACAGTGGCTAGCATTTTTCTGACTTTTTGCTATATGCCAGGTGCTCACTGTAGTTACAGTTTTATATGCACTATGTCATTTAACACTCACAAAAAGCATTTCAGAAAGGCATTGCTGTAATCCACATTTTCAGAAAAGAGGACTCAGGGTTAGAAAGAGTTTTTAAAGTCATAATGCTGGTAAATGGTAGAGTCAAGAAAAAGACCAAGTCAAAGGCCATGGCAGAAATTTGGTGTTCAAGGACAGATGACCTCAATTCAGAAGACTAATTTCCCCAATTTGAGGTTCTTGATTCCCTATGTGTCCCCAGTGTGGTAAGGGGTCTTCTGTGAATTATTTTGAAAGTCTAATGGAAACCTTCTATTTGCCCTGTAATGGCTGACTGAGTTTGTTTCCCATTACCAAGGAAAGGGAGTTTGCTTTGTTAGATACAATCTTTCAAATTATAGATCTAGGGAAGAGACTAATGAAGGGATCTTTGTCTATAAAAATGAAGAAGAAAGAAGAAAGAAGGAAGAAGAAGAAGGAAGAAAGGAGAAGGGAGAAGGAAGAAGGAAGGAAGGAAGAAGAGGAAAAGTTGGAACGGAATAGTTTAGAGCATGGACATTGCAGAAGTTATTAAAATGATACATTTTTACATCAAAACTTTATATAATCCCCATTCATATAAAGTAGATTTGTATTTACAAATATTTATTCATTCACCAAACTATTAGTAGCAACTCATGGACCTTCAAATACTTTGGATTTGACAGATAAAAGTTATTTTTCAAATATATGCACCAAAAATCGTAGGCTGTAAAGATACAGTTGAAAAACGATGTCCAAGCCAATGCTATCCCCTTTTGTCATGTGACCAAACTCTCTGCAAATAGATATGCCAAGCTGGTATTAAAGACCACCAAGCTGAATCTTTCACTTTGCACTTTTTTTCTCCTCACCAATAATAATCAAAAAGGACTAAGGCAAATGAGAGTAATTTTTCACATGCTAGACATCATACCAATAAATTCATAAAAAACAAGTTACCATTGAAATCTTACACATCTCTAAATTTTTCCACTTGAAAACAACGATCTTTTATAATGTAATAAAAATCAATATGGCATGAATAACATGGACCCTGATTTATTTGTCAAAACTTGGAACTCAGGCTCCAGCAAATCCAGAGAACTTGTCGACTTGACCACCTACCTTTAGAAAAGCCTGAAAGTAACGAATAATAAAGCTCAGGTAGGAGACACAAAGTGGCCAGGCTACAGCTGTGATCCTGGGCCTGTGACACACAACAGAGTCATGGTGTTACAGGGATAAGCATCCAGGATCTGGGGAAAGTAATTAGACGTAGAACTTACAAACATTTGGGTGGAATGACAGGACTATAATTTTTCCCTCAGTTTTCGCATTTTTACAACTAACACGGAGCAATAAGGCACCTCCTTTCTTGTATTGACCTAAACCAAATCTAAAGTCACTGGGTCGATGTGAATTCTAAAAGAAATTTAAGAGGCTTTAAGAGCACCTACAATCACCAAGAAAATAGCAGAAAAAAGGAAACCCATGAGGATTCTTTGGATTTTCAAAAATCTCCCTTTTTAAATTTTAGCACCATTACAAAGGCTATTTCAAGGCTTACATCCAATTACCATCCTAGTACTAATAAATTATCACTTAATTTTTTTTTTTTTTTGTCTTAAATCGTCTTAGGGAAATTTTAGCAAGGTGCAGATAGAAACTACTGGAGAACAGAACAGAGTTGTTAGCAAGTTGAAATGACATCATTTCTGGAAGGATTCCCCTATTTCTCAACAGCGATCACAAGGCTCTGGTCTGCACTTTCTCTCTCCTTAGAAAACTTTTCCAGATGCGTGTAGAGTTGCAGGGACCCCAGCCCCACAGACCTGCTTCTAGAGAAGTCATCCCCGAGCAACAGCTCCCTGCGGCCGACCCAACGCGGCGCCGCCACAAGCTCTCCCCGGGGCCGCGGGGACGAGGCGCGACCTCCCCTCGGGTTCTCCCGCACGTTCTCCACACGCCCCCTCCGCGCTCCAGCTCAAATACTCCCGGCCGGCTCGGGGCGGGCGTGGGCGCGGTGACCTCGCACTCTCCGCGCCCCGGGAGCGCCCCACACGCCACTGGTGGCCGGGAAGCGGCACCGCCCCCAGCACCGCCCCCAGCGCCGCGGGGGCCCCGCCCCCTCCCAGGGCTCCAAGCAGCACCCGCGCTGCCCCGACCGCTACCTGGGCCGGAAGCGGGCGCCTCCTTCCTCCCCTCCCCCGGGCGTGGGAACGTGCTTCGTCTTCACCGTGCGCCCGCCACCTGCGCAGCGGCTCCTCGCAGGGCCGTGTGCGGCCGAAGGGAGCTGCGGGGGGGGCTTCCCGGGACTCGGCGCCCTCCTCCCTCGCCTGGTGCCGGGGCGTGGAGGAAGTGGGCAGAGCGCCCACCTTGGGTTGCCCCGGATCCCTGGAACCGCTCGGACAGTCCCAGTGTCCTGGAGCAAACTCACTTCATTTTAAGGCTTGGTGTTCCTCCCCCCCCCCCCCCCCCGCACCCCCCAGCCCCTAGAACTTACCTCCGCCTACGTGGGGCTCATGCCACCCGCAGGGCCCGGGCTGAAAATAAGCATCAGTTTTAGACCAAGAGGGAAAGTGACTAATGAAGTTGCCCCCGGATACCAATTCACTTTGGCGGTTTGAGGAACTGGGGGCTCAGGCTGCAAGAGATCTGGAACCTCTGCTTCAGGTCCTGCCCTCTTGGTCCTGGAAGTCCTGACTGGGGTCACTGAGTGGGTCCATCCTGACCAGATTCACATGAACAGCCTCAAGGGACATTTTGCGCATAGTTCTGCCTTCCTCCCCTTCAACAGGTGCGCAGTCAAAATGTCCTTTGATTTTGTTAATAATCTAAATGGGCCTGATTTTCATGATGATATCTAAATGAGAAGAATTCTAGAAGAGAACAGAAGTCATCTAGTCCTAATCAATGCATGTGTCTTAAAAAACATGATCACTTGAATAGATGCCAAAAAGGCAATCAGCATATTCAAGATCCTTCTTCAGAAGATATCTTTGAAATCTAGAAATTGAACGGTGGGGTTCCATCTGATACACGAGGATATCGGAATATTGAGAATATTATATCAATACCAACTTGTAAACAGACTCAAAATTTCAAGTTACTTCTTTAAAAAACAGCATACCAAATATATTATTTAACATAACAGTAAGCAACCCACTGGCCACATACAAAATAAAATAGGCGAACAATAACCAATTAAACTACAATGGGAAAATGGATCCCATGCGCAATAGCAACAAAGAACATAAAATAACCAGGAATGATAAAAAAAAAAAAAGTAGGAAATCTGAAAAAGCAAATTGCAGGACTACTGAGAAATTATTTATAAAACATTTTATTAACTGGGGAGACATAGGATATCCTTAAGTGAGAAGAAAAGATTTTAAATGCATAATTACTGCCTACCTAAATAAGAGACAACAATATCTTGAATTCATCTGAGAACCTACATAAACTAGAAAAGCTAAGACTAGTGGTTCTCAGACTGTGGTCTTGGGGCAGATGAGGTTCAAGGGGTTCAAAAAATCAAAATTGCTTTCCTGATGATATTAAGACTATTTTCACTCCTTTTTTGGTATCCACTCTTTCACTAGTATACACTGAAATGTAGTATATTCCAGTGGCTACCTCCAACATATTATCACAAGAGATTTATTGCAAAAGCAGATATCTTCTATCATGCCAGACATTAAACAAGTTTGCAAGAATGTAAAAGAATGCCATTTCTGCCACTAATTTCTTTTGTTTTGGAAACTAGTTATTTTTCATTTAAAAACGTTATGTTAACAAATAATTAATTTACTAGTGTTTTTAAATTTTTAAATAAATACATTTAAAATTTTTCAGCTTAATTTCTTTTCTTTTTTCTTTTTTTTTTTTTTTAAATAGGATTCACTCCCAGCATGGTGCCCAACTCTGGGCATGAATTAACCCCCCTGAGATCAAGACCTGAACTGAGATCAAGAGTCGAACGCTTAGCCAACTGAGCCACCCAGGTGTCCCTCAGCTTAATGTCTAATGTGGTAATTATCCGTAGATATAATACATTACAAAAACTCTATGGTGTCTTCAAATGATTTTCAAGAATGTAAAAGAGGGTCCAGGACCAAGAAGTTTGAGAGCCTTTTGATAATAATGAAAAAAATTAGTAAACTATAATAATTAAGAGTATGGCACTAACACGGGAATAAAACAAAATGTACAATCCAGTCAGCCTAAGACCATTAAGGACAAAACCTGTGGTCTCCTTGTCAAGTTTACTGGATCCTTGAAACAGTGGAGACTGCCGCAAAGGAACCATGAAGGCCAGGTGCTTTCTTAATCTTTGTTTTGGGCCCTTTGGCCAGTTACCTCCTTACTATCAGTTTCTGGGCTCTGAGGACATTTACATATGCATACTGCTAGTTCAAACACATCACAACTATTATTTTTATTTCATCTATCCAGGCAGATAGAGTCCGAGATTTGACTTATATGTTTGTAAAATATTCCACATTTTAACATCTCACTGGTGATACCTATTTGATTTTTCCTTATGAATTTTGAACTTATGTTATTGCTTTGCATTACATTGTGGGGAGGGAGGAGCTGTATAATATCACTGTAATTTAACTGAAACATGCACTGAGTAAAGTGTATTCAAGCTACTTCAAAAAGCACCTACTGTATAGGCTTTCTTTTCCTCTTACTCTTTATGTTTCAGTAATACAATGAATACAAAGGAAGAACATGTCTCACTTGCTTAATGATGATTTTTGTTGGTGGTCATTTTTTTTTTTACCTGATCTAAATTCATTCAGTATCAGATATTTCCACTGAAGCTCGTGAACTGGCAAGATAACATTTGAAATAATCATCACCAAAATAAAAATGTTTGCTTTGGATTCTTAATGGGAAACAAAACCATAGTTTAAAAACAGTTTCACTTTAGGGCGCCTGGGTGGTTCAGTTGGTTAACTGACTTCAGCCCAGGTCATGATCTTGCAGTTCAGGAGTTCAAGCCCTGCGTCGAACTCTGTGCTGACAACTCAGAGCCTGGAGCCTGCTTCAGATTCTGTGTCTCCCTCTCTCTCTGCCCCTGCCCTAATTGCACTCTTTCTCTCTCTCTAAAAAAAAGTAATAAACATTAAAAAAATTAAAAAATATTTTCACTTTATAGGGTATGTTTTCCAAGAAAATTTAATGAAGATAATCAATAAAGATAAGCACTTTATAATACAAACTACTTTTTTTTGGTGGTAGGGAAGAAGTACAAGACTTGAGGACGTGAAGTAGGGCTTAAAATCTTTTTAGAAAGTAGAGGAAAGTATTTGACATTTTTCCTTCAAAATTTTTATAGCTAACGTGGCTTTTTAAAAATTTTAAATGGGTTGAGGTATTTCTTGGTTTTGTTTTTCGTTTTTGTTTGTTTTTTAAACCTTCTCTGGATTGTTGCAGACTGTTTAAAATTATGCGTTTTTCCTTAGGGGGCATTTGGGTTTGAGAGTAGAGGGTTGTGATAGGAGGGAATTTAAGGGAAATTTCAACATAATTTACTTCAACCCCCTATTTTATAAAATAGGACTTTTGGGTTCAATTCAGTTGCCTGAGGTCACACATCAAGTTGGTAGCACACCCAAGGGTGTTGGGCGAGAATGTTCTGGTGAGAATGTCCGTGCTCTGTGCTGACAGCTCAGAGCCTGAAGCCTGCTTCAGATTCTGTGTCTCCCTCTCTCTCTGCCCCTTTCCCGCTCGTGCTCTGTTTCTCCCTCAAAAAAGTTTTTAAAAAATTAAAAGAAAGTGTGATGAGCACTTGAAATAAAGGAAGAGGCACAAGAAGAAGGGACTGAGAGCTGGAAGCTAACCCACAGTGATTCTGAGATTGTGCAAAACAATGGACATCAGGACACAAGGTGACATTTGCCCTGAAGGCAATCTCTGTTCCTGAACTGCCATTCCTAGTGTTTGTTTCCTGAGTTCCACAAGTCAAAGTGTATACATGCCCATTTTAACCAGTTTCATTCATATACACATAGATAAGATCTTGGGGGAGGAGAGATGTAAAACTCATTGTAACTTCTGCTGGCTGACTGGAACTGCCCTTAGGCTGAATGATTTAGGAAGTCCTTTGAGAATCAGTCCTGTAGTTGAAGACCTTTTATTTCCTGGAGTTGGTTGATTAGGAAGAGATAATAAACCAGCCATTGGATTCTCTGATCCAACAGTAATCCTGTGGATATATTTTTAGTGGGGTGGGGAGACTCTTTTTTGTTTTTCATCCAGCTCTATTGAGATATAATTGACATATAACATTGTATAAGTTTAAGAAGTCCAAGTATTGATTTGATATATTTATATATTGCAAAATGATTACCACCATAGCATTAGCTAACACTTCCATCTTGCCATATAATTACGTTTGTGTGTGTGTGTGTGTGTGTGTGGTGAGAACATTTAAGATTTACTGTCTTGGCAACTGTTATGTATATAATACAGTATCATTAGCCATCATCATCATGCTGTACATAGAAATTCCAGAACTTATTCATCTTATAATTGGAAGTTTGTACCCTTTGACCAACATTGCCCCATTTCCCCTATCCCCTAGTCCCTGGCAACCACCATTCTACTCTCTACTTCTAGGAATGTAGTTTTTTTAGATTCTGCATATGAGCGATATCATATGTATGTTATTCTCTGTCTGACTTTCACTTAGCATGAAGCCCTCAAGATTCATCCAAGTTGTCACAAATGGTAAGATTGCCTTCTTTTTCATGGTTGAATAACATTCCACTGGATATATATACTATATCTTCCTTATCCTCTCATCTGTTGACAGACATTTGGGTTGAATATTCTTAGTTTATCAGCATGATGAGATTGTTACCACTCAGGAAACTTAAGAGTGAATCCAGTAATCCAGTAAAGTGGTTATATGGATGCTCCTGGGTAGATACACACACCACAATGTGGTAATGATGGATGGAGGGTCCAAGTAGAATCAATTTTGGAAGGAAATGACTTAAAAAACATAGAATCGAGTTCCTGTTT